CCCGTGGCAGGGGTTGGAGCTGGAGGAGCTTTAAGGTCCCTTCAACCCAAACCAGGCTGGGGTTCTGTGGCTTGCAAGAGCCCTTCACAGGAACTGGATGTCAGAATTGTCACCTCACAGCAAATGTGGTGCCTGTTTCCAAAGGGTCTCTCTTGGATGGGTGGGTGTTCCTCTGCTTTACCTGTGACAGTGGAGTCTTCCCATTTCTGTGTGCTTGGTATGAGCTTCCTTGTCTGATGTCTTCCTTGAGACCTGCCAACAGCCAGCCTGGGTCTTGGTCAGGAGATGCCCTACATCTAAAGACATGCCGGAAGGGAGGGATTCCTTCCTTCCCCTTTGGGGTCTGGTGGTAGAAGCATGAGAGAGGAGGGGAAAAAATAAGCAAGTGGAGGAGAATAACCTTGTCTGACTTTGAGTCGCTGGCTCAGCAACAGGAATCTCAGAAGGGGGGAGGAGCTGAGTGCATTTAAACCAGAACCAAACACATCTCTACACGCCTTCGTGCTGGTTCCCCTCTGCCCCTCAAGGGACTGGGATCTCCAATCCCAGGGAGATTCCTCAGACAAATCTGGCATTTATAAACCATGAAATTCCTCTGCGGGTTTTAGTTTCTCCTTGCTCCACATGAGCCTTGGAAAATGTTTGTTAAATTCAAGGCTTCCTTCCATGATTAATGGCATGTAAATGTGTAGAACTTTGCTGGGTGTTGAGTAGGAAGAGCTGCTGCAGTGGGAGCAGCTCCTGCTGCAGGCTCTGCCTTTGGAAACATGGGTTTCTTGCTTACTTTTTCCCTTTGTGCCATAGAGAAATCAAACCCAAGGCGTGCATGTCGGGCACTGGGTTTTGTGGCACAGAAATAGAGCGCTGTGGGGTCTTGGAGCCAGCTTGCATCAGACTGTGTGGCACTCGCATCGCTGCAAGCAACCGCTGCCAGAAATACATCAGGGTGCTTTCACTGTAAGTGCATTCACTGCAGCACTCGGCGTTGGTTTCGGAGATTCCTGGCAGATTCCTGAGGGAAGGCACTAATGGGTTGGTGCTGTTGATGGAACACAGGATTCCAGAGCCTTACTGCAGAGTTTTGTCTTGTGATGTGGGTTATGCTCGTCTAACGCCTTGGTGTTCCTACCTTGAGTACCTCCCTAGAGAAGGTTGCTCTCACTTTGTTAGGTGCATTGTTAGTTCCTCTCTTTTTAACCTGTAACCATGGCTTTAAGTTCTATCACAGACTCTCTCACTCTTTCATTCCATGTCTTTGACAGGCATTTGATCAGTCTTCTTTGCTCCTTAGTCTTACCTCTTGCTCTGCCAGGCTCAGGATGACAGCAGTTACATGTGTCTGGACTGATGCTGCATGACAGAGCTGTTACAGAGAGCCTGTTACTCAGGTGGGCCTCCTTACTAGCCCTTTCCTCACTGTGAGGAAATGAGCCATGGCTTTGGTGCTGCTGCAGTCATGGCTGTGCTGCTTCCCCTGGGTGTAGTTCCATATTGTGTTGTCAGTGTGGTTACAGAGCTTTGCAGATTTTCGGGAGCTGATGTGCATTGGCTACAGTTCATTATCCAAAGTCACCAGGTAGCTAGCAAAAGCGGAGAGCTTCTATAAAAGACAAAAATAGACCAAAAGAAGTGAGTGCATCCCCTTACCTGGCTGTAGGTGTTACACTGTGAGTGTTCATTCCTTCTGTACTCATTTTTTGAGGGTATGCAGGTTCTTTAGGACTCCTTTCATTTACACATCCATTATCTTTAAGTGGCTCTTGCTAGAATGAGCAGCAGTGGTTTCCCAGCCTTCACTAGCTTATCTGGAGCAGCACTGAGTGAGTTATGTCCTCCTGGCAACAGCTACTGCACCCTCCTTCAATGGTTGCTCAGAGAAGCTGTGGCTGCCCCATCCCTGGCAGTGTTCAAGGGCAGGTTGGACACAGGGGCTTGGAGCAAGCTGCTCTAGTGGAAGGGGTCCCTGCCCGTGGCAGGGGTTGGAGCTGGGTGAGCTTTAAGGTTCCTTCCAACACAAACCATTCCATGACCTATGAAGGATCTCTCATTCTGAGAACTTTCTTTGCTGTAAGCAAAGTACTCCTGGAGCTGGTTTAGAGGCTCAGGGCAGTTTCCTCTGCGGGATGATTCCCAGTGGGCCTAAGTTTGGACGTGTGAGATGCATACTCCTGATAAGGGAAAGCGGTGATGGACCTTGGCATTTCTAGGGGAAGCTGTTACAAGAAAAGGGAGGTATTTGGAATATGCATTGACAAATGAGGACTAAACTATGGTGATTTATCGCCAAACCTCTTTGGCAGCCTCTCTCCAGTTTAGGCCTCTCGGTTATCGGATCCTTCCTGTGTGTGCACATGAAATGAAGTAATGTACGAATGGCTTTGAGAGCTCGGAGCTGCTTGGTTCCGGGAAGGATTTCTCCCGTGTCGAAGGCTCGTTCCTGTGATGGGCTCCTCAGAGCCCCTCTTGGGCTGTTTGGCAGCAGCAGTGGCTGTCACCGACCCCACACTGGGTTATCCCCCTGGGGTGGGTGCTGAGCCACCAGCAGCAGCGTTCCCCTCAGCAGGGACTGGATCTGTTCCCGGGTGCTCTCCACATGAGGCTGCTCCACCGGCTCCCCAGGCTCCGGCGCTCCTCCAGCTCCCATCCCTGGTGAAACAAGGTCCCTTCAGCTCCGTTCAGTCAGGTCTGGTGTGGTTTGAAGCATTCCATGACCCTCCTTTAGAGACAACAGGGAAGTTAAAAGCGTTTTCTGATCCCCACGAGTGCAAACACCCAGAGGAGCTCCTGTCCCTGAGCCTCCAGCAGCTGGGAGCACCGCTGAGCCTGCCAACGTTCCTTGTTTGATCCCAGTGCCCCAGCGAGCGCTGGGTAAACAGGATGATTGTTTCTGCTGGGTGATCGTAAAGCCCTCCTCACTGTCTGCTGAGAGCACTCCTCCATGGCAAGGAAATGGCTGGGTTTGTTTGTTTAAGAGGCAGGGATGGGAAATGACGCCAACGCTTAACTGGTTTTCCTGGTGTTTTTAGAAGGCACTGTCACTGTCTCAGGTCTTATTTCCAAAGGCATTCAGTGTTTTCCACAACCCTGCTAAGTCCTACAGCTGTGTGCATGCGTGTGTGTGTGTATATACATATATATGCATAGGCATCAAAAAATAGCTTATAAATTTCCTGCACCCACCTGGTGATGGGACACGAGTGCCTCCCTGTGCCCATGCTGTAGCAGGGTTCGATACGTTCCCCCTCACAGTGCTGAACTTAAACCATCCTCAGGTCCCATTTCCCAACACTGGCATAAATCTGTGCTTACAGAGTGTGCTGTAACCCCCCTCAAGTAGGAAGAAGTCACAGTTCCCCTCTGTCATGCTTGTTTTGCCTGAGCACCAGGTTTACCTGCATGTGCCGAGTTACGCTGCGCGTTTCATCTTTACCTTGTATTGCTCCTTGCTTGTCCTTGAAGGGATGTTCCAATGTTTTAGTTGCTGGTGATGTTTTACTGGTTTCTTTGGTGAAGGTGTTCTTCTGAGTCTGCATTCCTTGAAGGTGTCAGTCATGGTGGGTGTCCTGTGGTCCCATTCCCATGCTGTGTCCATGCACTATCTGCAGGCATCAACACTTGCAATAGCAACCCAAAAGAGTTCCTCCATGTGGGATTCTCTCTCTTTGGTACTTCTGCAAGAGCCTGGCAAGAAAACCACAACCCTGGCACTCCAGGATACGTGTGGAAAAGGTGGGGTTGTGGTTGTGGTTTCTTCCATCAGCTTGGGCACAATAAAACGTGTATCTTGCTGCACCAGAGCAAGGCTGAGGGACCGCATGGCAGCTTTGTCCTCCTTGTGCTCCACTCCTCGCCCTGCTCAAGCAGCAGCAGGTCTAACCACCCCATGTGAATCAGAATGAGCAGCGCAGGTATTAAACAGACAGCAAAGCTCTGGAGATGATAGCTCACAGGAGCTCCTGTGCCCCAAACCAGTGTCATTGGTGGGTGGCTCCAGCACAGGTGCTGGAACACGGCCTCCAAAAACCAGTGAGGAACTTTGCTTTGTAACCAGTGTTAATGTTCGACTCTTCCTCATCCTCTGACCCTCACAGATGACACAACCTCAGTGCTCCTGCGAATCAAACTGAAGTTACATTTTATTGCCCTTTAAAGACTTATTTGTATCGTATATAAGAAAAAAACATGCAGTGCTGAACAACTTCAATTCAACCTTTCTCCTTTTGTTCTTGTGGGGGGGTTTATAGCAACACTTATCTGCAGGGTTTCTTTAGCCTTGCATGCACAAGCAGGAAAGTGACCCATAACATGCAGGGGCAGGGGAGAAAGAAGTTTTAATTTCCAAAATGTCATTTATACAGATCAGAGCATGTTCTACAGACTGAGGAACAAAGATTCGTCTGTCTGAATCAAACACAGCAATAGAGGCCCTTCAGCAGAAACCTCTCACCCATGAAATGTCAAGTGACATCAAGTGCATCTTGTATGAAACAAGAGAAATGGAATATAGAACTGGGATTTGAGCAGGAGGTTCTGATACAAAACCCCTCCTCTGGCCTGGCTGGGGTGGGATGGAGGAATCCCTGTGCTGCTCTTAGTTTGGTCTCTGAAAGAGAAGAAACGGGGAAGTTTTCATTGTGGGGTCAGCTTCTGTTAATGCCACTCGGGTCACCTGCCACATGCAGCCTGTGAAATGAGAGGACCTGGATGCCAGAACTTGGCTTTATTGTCTTACAGTTGTGATACAAAACGAGCACTCAACGTGGCACTGCTGAAGCAAGGATGTGGAGAAGGAATTCTTCACCTAAAAAGCATGGTTTATTTCATAGTTTCACTGCTGGACTTTGTCATTCGCTTCCATGCTCAGTCACGACTCGCATCCTGCGAGGGATACACAAGTGTTGGGCACCAGCCCCAGCGCGTACAACCACAAACCAAATGGATGTCTTACAGAGGACAGGGCTTTGCTTTCCGAGTGAGCACACACTGATGTTCACATAGACTAAAAATAACAAAGGTTGCTTTAATAAGGATTTTGTACAGTAGGCGGAGATATAAAAGTTTTCCAAGTGATTTTCACAGGTATCACTGAACATTTCGTAGCTGTCTGATACAGAAGCACCCAAAAGTGCTTTGAGTCTTTCGTTTATTATACATAGTTAAAATATATTACACTTCTGAAGGGATCTGAAATCACTGAACGGGTTTGCTAGCATCTTAATGCGCCAAATGGGAGTAAAAGGCAGTCCACATTCATGATGTGAATATACAGTAAGGTGTTTGACATCCTAGTAACTCATTGCTCATGTTCTCAAAATAACCATGGTGATGAGACCTGGAAGACAAGAATTCACAACTGAATGCTTTCATTTCATGGAATAAAACATCTAAACCAGACAGCTTACCCTGACACGGCCCAGAAAGGAAGGTGAAAGTGCATAAATACATGCACAAGTTATATATACACTTCACTGAAATAGCAGGAGGATTGCTCCAAGTGTTGATGGAGTCACAAGCTGCTTACAAAGACTGACACTCAAGTGCAGTGTATCTGGTACCCAAGCGTCAAAGCAGCTCAAAATAATCCAAACAAGGGCTGAGCTCACCCCTGGAAAACCTTCACTCTGAGCTTTTGACTGTGGCAAGTCTAACAGCAGCACGCAAACCCCAGTTTTCATGGGGGCAGTGTCATTCCAATGCTGACTCAGCTGAAGGCTCCAGGGCACTGTTTCTGCTCTGTGCAGAACTGATCAAAGACCGGTTTTTGACTAAGATGCAAAGCTTCCTTGTGAGTCTGCACAGGGAGCTTCCTGCAGACTCTTTGTTGTGACCTTTAGCAGGGAGGAAAGCAAAACAGAACTGTGCTAACAGAGGTTAAAACCAATTAAACCCAGCTGAAAGCAGGAGACGTGGGGCTCATAAACCTACCCATGGCCTAGGGAGAAGTTCACTTTAATTATGTGCTGATACAGGAAAAAGTCCAACTCTGCAAGTTCTTAGCCATGATTTATTTTGCACAAGGTGATGAGGTATATGGAAAACATGAGGGCTCCTTCAGTTCCAGCCTTACACAACATCCAAGTGGTAATTTATCAGTTCTTGGGCAATCCTCCTTTCCTGCAGGCTCAGATGGTGTTCATGGAACAGCCTTTCACTGCAGAGCTCAGCTAAAGCCTACGCATCTCCTCTACCATGGATGGAGGCATTTCTGAGACTATTTTAGTGTCCTGCCACTACACAGTGATTTAACTCACTGACTTGGAAAAGGTCTGAGGATGGAAGTGTGGCAGAGCAGAGCTCTAACGCTGCCTTCCATAAGCGATGCACCCACTGAAGAGGAATTACAGTTCAGCTATTGCTTAAGGTCTGCACTAGCTTGGACAGTTGGTACTGCCACAACTGCTGTAGGCCTTAGCCTGGATTACCTAAACCATCCCAGAGCAGTAACAGAGGCTTCTGGAAGGTGCTACAGGACAGCCCGTATCACCTGTAAAGGACTTTCAGGCCATAAAGGGTTTAACTCATTGCTGTAAAGCAAATACTTCCCAGCTGTAAGCCCAGTTGATGGGCATCAATCTCCCTTTTCAATTGAAGCCACACAATGCACTTGTGCTTTGGTGTAAAGAAAGTGGCTTCATCTTCCCAAGAGCACTCAACTTTCTACACAGGAAGAGTTGCACATAAATTCATGAGCACTAAAAGTGCTGCTCCCACAGGAGTCAAACCCTGTAAGGACATTATAGTGAATCTACAAACAGGTTGGACTTGGTGCAAATGCATCGAGTCAAATGGGTTCAAACTGCTGTTGGCACCAGCAGAAACTGGAGTCATTTTCAAAACTAGAGATTAAAACACAGCAGGAGTTAGTGCAAGGTCTGAGAACACAGCACCAGTGGCACCACCAGTGACTCAGGCAAAGGGCAACAAGTGAGGTTTCCAACTGTTTCATCAGACTGACTTGCAGGAATCAGTGAGTGGACTCTGTGTGTGCATGAACCACCATGAACTTGTGCCTTTCCCCACCACTACCTCACCTCTAGCTATCAGTCTGAAGCTGCCTAGCTCCTTTCCTGTAACTCCTCATTTGTGCCAGGTAGTGGGGCAGGAGAATTGAGTTTAGTGACACTGTTCTTCCAGCCTGAAACAGTTATAGACAAACAGTCAGCACAAATGAAACGTGCAACTTCCCCATGCTTGCTAAGGTAGGAGGTACAAAGCAGGAAGGACTGTGGCTACTGGTGCTCTCCTGGGAAGGGCTTACAGTAACTTATTTCTATACAATTCATAGAATCAACCAGGTTGGAAAAGCCCTTTCAGCTCCTCCAGTCCAACCCTTACCCCAGCAGTGCTGAGGCCACCTCTGCCGCATGGCACTGAGGCCTCATCTCCACGGTGTGTGAACACTTGCAGGGACGGTGACTGCAGCCCTGCCCTGGGCAGCCTGTTCCAATGCCTGAGCACCCTCTGGGGCAGGAATTGTTCCTCAGCTCCATCTAAACCTGCCCTGGTGCAGCTTGAGGCCGTTTCCTCTTGTCCCATCCCTTGTTCCTTGGGAGCAGAGCCCAGCCCCTCCTGGCTCCATCCTCCTGTCAGGCAGTTGGAGGGAGCCATCAGGTCCCCCCTGAGCCTTCTCTTCTCCAGACTGAACCCCTCAGGACCCTCAGCCACTCCCCATCACACTTGGGCTCCAGGCCCTGCACCAGCTCCCTGCCCTTCTCTGGCCCCACTCCTGTAGTGAGGGGCCCAGAACTGAACACAGGATTCAAGGTGCAGCCTCACCAGTGCCCAGTGCAGGGGCACAATCCCTGCCCTGGCCCTGTTGCCGCACTGGTGCTGAGCCAGGCCAGGATGCTGGGGGCTTCCTGTCTGCCTGGGCACAAGCTGCTCATGTTCAGCTCCGTCACTCAGCACCCCCAGATTCTGTTCCATGAGCAACTTTCCAGCTGCTCTTCCCCAAGCCTGGAGTGTTGCATGGAGTTGCTGTGGCCCAGGTGCAGGACCCAGTACTTAGCCCTGTTGAACCTCATACCACTGCCCACAGCCCACGGATCCAGCCTGTCCAGATCCCTCTGCAGAGCATCCTGCCCTACAGCAGATCCACCCTCCAACCTAATTTAGTGTCATCTGCAAACTTACTGAGGGTGCCCTTGACCCCTTCATCCAGATCATCAATGAAGATATTAAACAACATTGGCCCTAACACCGAGCCCTGAGGGACAGCACTGCTGCCCAGACGTGACACCATTCACCACCATTCCTTGGGCTCTGTCATCCAGCCAGTTTTTACCCAGTGAAGAATCCACCTACCCAGGCCATGGGCAGCAAGTTCAATATTTCAACTGCTTATGGAGTGAATGGAGCCTTTCAAACCTGCTCCTCTGGGCTGGAGAGAGGAACAGAACAGAGGAGATGTAGGTTCTGCAATGGAGAAACTCCCTGTTTCAGGATAAGAATCAGAAATGGCACATTCCATTCAGGTTTGTTGGCAGATGACTACAGTTGGACACTTGTCAGATGGAAGTTAACTAACATGGGCCTGTATATAATAAATATCAACTAAAATCTGGTCTAAAATGCTCATGAGAATTAACATACTCTGGTATCACTTTGGCTGCAAGTTAAAATCTAAGTAGAGATGCAAACCAAAGGGTAATGGTGGTGATTTGGACGCCATCAGTCACTGGCAAATGCAGCTGTAAGAAAGCATTTACAAAAGCCAAAATACTTACCTAAAACATAAGCAGCTACTAACTTTTGATTCACACTTAAGTGGAGGTAGAGAGGCACCAGGGATTCCAAGTCCCCCAATGTAGGTAGCATTAGTGCTGCAATACACACTATTCCTAGGAAGACTGTTAGTAAACTAGGTCCCGACGAGGCAGTTCTGTTTTCTGGAAGAGATGAGGAAGAAACATCTAAGTTTGTAGGAAGATCTGACCAAAATACATCTTAAATATTATGTAAAAAGCATTTGTGGTGCATTGGAGCTGCAACATCCTGGGATTTTCTTTTCCCTTTGGAGGGGGTGGAAAACACCTCTTAAACCCACCCTTCTGAACCTTCCACGTTTTGCTGCTCCCTGTTCTGATGCTGGAACTTGTTTTCACATGATTTCCCAAACCCCTCCCTTCTGCAGGAACAGAGCCTGCCAGGCCCCGTAGCTATATATACACACTCCTGAGAGCTGGATGCTTCAGCAGGGCCTGAGGTTTCACCACGCATCCTGCCTCCATTCCTTGCTATGTTCCTCCAGTGATTAGTAATCGATGAGGAAAGAACACCTAGAAGAGCTGCACAGGCAGGTAACAGCTTCCACACCCAGAACAAAGCCTGGCTACAGCAGGGGCTCATGTTCTTGGGCCAGATGAGATTCCTTCTGTAGAGGATTCAGGGGCTGCGTCTTCCTGAACCAGTTTAAATGCCAAAAATTAGTAATATTGGAATCTTATTTTAAAATCTATGGGAATGGACCACTCTGCCAACGTCACCAGATTAAGGACACACAAACTGTAAAGGAACTGTTCTTCATACAGCTGGAGCCTACTGTCGTGGTTTAAACCCAGTCAGGTAGCTTGTTCACTCACTCCCAGTGAGTGGTGCCGAGCTGACAACAATCGAGGTCCGTGTCCGTCTCCCCCCTGCCTCCCCGCACCGGGGCTCTCCCCTTCCCCGCTCCCGGAGGAACGGGGAGGAGGATCGAGAGAGTGCAACTCCTACGGGTTGAGACAAAAACAGTCCAGCAACAAATCACCACCGCTACTATCAGCTACAACAATGATAAGGGAAAATAACAAGGGAAGAGAATACGATACCACCGGCCAAGAGAAACGAGCTCCACCCGGAAACCCCTGTCCTTCCGGGTAACTCCCAGTTACCCCTCACCCCGGGCATGACGTGCTGTGGTATGGAATACCTCCCCGGCTAGCCCGGGTCAGGCGCCCCATCTCTGCTTCCTCACAGCCTCCCCTCCTCCCTGGCAGAGCATGAGCCTCACAGAGTCCTTGGTCAGGGTAAACATCACTTAGCAACAACCGAGAACATCGGCTTCACCAACACTGTTCTCAAACTGGAAGTCAAAACACAGCACTGTACCAGTTAACACAAAGGAAAAACATGACTGCTACTGCGGAACCCAGGACATTATCCACCCCTTATTCCATACCATTCACGTCGTGCTCAGATCCCACATTTTTCAATACACCATCGCTCTCCCACATATATACATCCATATACATACAGACCAAGAGGAAAAATCATTTTCTTAGTGCATGGACCAATCCCTATAATGCTGCCGAGTCCATTCGGTCCATGATGTTCAAAGTTCATTCTCTGTTGGGATGATGGCTGGAGGGAAGTCAGGGCCAGTCGCTTGTGACCTGGAGACATCTAGTTGATGGGCTATAAAAGCATTACACAGCAGGCAACAGCATACAATTGAGTTCACTGGCTGTTTTCCCCTAAAATCAAATCCCCTTGAGGTATACATCGGACTTCCCCATCTTCCCGCATTACCCACCAAGTATATCCAGGTCCCTGAGCAAAAGCAATCCCACGAGTGGGTTTGCCTTTACCTGAAGCAGGAATTACCCAGACTGTCTTTCCCAGCAAATTCTTCATATGCACCACGGGAACTTTGTCCCCCTCTACAATATGTAACAGTTCTGACTGGGCTGGGCCAGCCCTGTTGGCAGATCCTCTGGTGTTGACCAACCAGGTGGCCTTTGGTAAGTGTGTAATTAGTGCAGCCCATTTACTCCATGTAGCATCGGTTGCATGATGTGTAGAGGAGACCCTGCCTTTGAACATCCAGCCCAGCACGGGCAGCCGGGGTGCCAGAAGGAGCTGTGCTTCAGTGCCAATCACTTCCGAAGCAGCTCGAACCCCTTCATAGGCTGCCAGTATTTCTTTCTCAGTTGGGGTATAGCTGGCCTCAGATCCTTTATATCCCCGACTCCAAAAGCCGAGGGGTCGACCTCGAGTCTCCCCTGGAGCTTTCTGCCAGAGGCTCCAGGTAGGACCGTTCTCCCCAGCTGCAGTGTACAGTACATTTTTTACATCTGGTCCGGTCCGGACTGGTCCAAGGGCTACTGCATGAACTATCTCGCGTTTAATTTGCTCAAAGGCTTGTTGCTGCTCAGGGCCCCATTTAAAATCATTCTTCTTCCGGGTCACATGATAGAGAGGGCTTACAATCGAACTGTAATTTGGGATGTGCATTCTCCAGAACCCCACTGCACCCAAGAAAGCTTGCGTTTCTTTCTTATTAGTTGGCGGAGACATTGCTGTTATCTTGTTGATCACATCTGTGGGGATCTGTCTACGTCCATCTTGCCATTTTATTCCCAAAAATTGAATCTCCTGTGCAGGTCCCTTGACCTTACTCCGTTTTATGGCAAAACCGGCTTTCAGCAGGATTTGGATTATTTTCCTCCCTTTCTCAAAGACTTCTTCCGCTGTATCGCCCCACACAATAATGTCATCAATGTATTGCAGGTGTTCTGGAGCTTGCCCCTGTTCCAGTGCAGTCTGGATCAGTCCATGGCAGATGGTAGGGCTGTGTTTCCACCCCTGGGGCAGTCGGTTCCAAGTGAACTGGACACCCCTCCAAGTAAAAGCAAACTGTGGCCTGCACTCTGCTGCCAAAGGGATTGAGAAAAATGCATTGGCAATATCAATCGTGGCATACCACTTGGCTGCCTTTGACTCTAGTTCATACTGAAGTTCTAGCATGTCCGGTACGGCAGCACTCAATGGTGGTGTGACTTCATTCAGGCCACGATAGTCTACTGTTAGTCTCCATTCTCCATTAGACTTTCGCACTGGCCATATGGGGCTATTGAAGGGTGAGCGGGTCCTGCTGATCACCCCCTGACTCTCCAGTCTACGGATCAGCTGATGGATGGGAATCAGGGAGTCTCGGTTGGTGCGATATTGCTGCCGGTGCACTGTTGTGGTCGCAATTGGCACTTGTTGTTCTTCAACTTTCAGCAACCCCACAGCAGAGGGATCTTCTGAGAGACCAGGCAAGGTGGACAGCTGCTCAATTTCCTCAGTCTCCAAAGCAGCAATACCAAAAGCCCACCGGTACCCTTTTGGGTCTTTGAAGTACCCTCTCTTGAGGTAGTCTATGCCGAGGATGCATGGAGCCTCTGGACCAGTCACAATAGGGTGCTTTTGCCATTCCCTCCCAGTCAGGCTGATTTCAGCCTCCAGCACAGTCAACTCTTGGGATCCTCCTGTTACTCCAGAAATATAGATGGGTTCCACCCCTTGACAGCTTGATGGCATCAGGGTACACTGTGCACCGGTATCTACTAGAGCCTTATACTTCTGTGGGACTGATGTGCCAGGCCATCTGATCCACACAGTCCAGTAAATCCGATTGTCCCCTACCTCCACCTGGCTGGAGGCAGGGCCCCTCTAACAGTCGTCACAGCATTGGACACTTAAGTCGTGTTGAAAGGGATTATTCTTCTTTATCACAGGAGCTGGAGTAAAATCAGCTCTTCCACTCCATCTGGGAAACTGATCACCAGAGACTGAAGCCGTAGCTCTCATGGGACGATCAGTCTTGGCCCTTGCTCCCCTCTTCAGTTCACTCACCCGTTCCTCCAAAGCTGAAGTAGGTTTTCCATCCCACTTTGTCATGTCTTCTCCATGATCCAGCAGGTAAAACCATAGGGTACCCCGTGGCGTATACCTCCTGTATCTCCTCTCTTGAACAATAGGACGCCTTTTGTTAATAGCTGAGACGTGTGTTGGTACACGTGAGGAGCCGGATAAATCAGATAGATTGTCCTTCAATTGTTCGATGTCCTGGGACAGTTTTTTCACAGCTGAGATGATGGAAGGGGTGAGATTGTCTTCGAACTCTCGGAGTTTATGAACCATTTCATCCACTGTTAGTGGTACTATGTCATTCCAGGTTACTGTTGCCAATGAATGGGCATATGATGACGGTGCATTCCGTGTAAGTTTTCGCCACATGGGTCGTGTACATTCAACTTCATCTGGATCTATAGGTGTATCCCCGTTATTCGGCTTGATGTGATAGATCATCTCTACGATGGCCGATTCCCTCAGAGACTGGATGCCTTTGTCTATAGTATTCCACTTGGCCGAACGACTCGTAACATCGTCCTTGTACGGAAACCTTTCTTTCACAGCTGCCAAGAGCCTCCTCCAAAGGCTGAGGGACTTTTTCTCTCTTGCAATTGCTTTGTCAATTCCCCCTTCTCTAGCAAGTGATCCCAGCTGCTTGGCTTCTGTACCTTCTAGTTCGTGACCATCAGCCCCATTGTCCCAGCATCGGAGTAACCAGGTGATGATGTGCTCCCCTGGTTGACGGGTAAAATCTTTTCGCATATTCCGCAGCTCGGTTGAGGTCCGAGGTCGAGAAGTTACCTCTTCTTCTTCTTCTTCGTCATGTGATGATGACTCCTGATCAGATTCTGGACCGGGTGGTGAATTCATTGGTTCTTCATCTCGCTTCACCCTTTTTGCCTCCTTTTTGCTTGTTCTCTTGCGTACAGGGGCAACTGATATTGGTACGAATTGGTCCTCTGGTTTGGCTGCAGTGATTATCACTGTGGTTTGAGTAGCAACTGTACTTGTTATTGGGGGTGGTGTAGCTACTGTGCTTGGAGCTGGGGTAACCGTGCTGTCTGTTGCAGTTGAAGTTTGAGCAGCTGCTGCACTTGCCACTGGGACAGCTGTGCTGTTCATTGCAGCCAAAGTTTGAGTAGCGACTGTTGCTTTGCCCTCAGATCCGCCGACATTCTTTTCCTTTTGAAGGTGCTGGATAGTGTTGAACAAGGCCCTGTAAGCATAGGCCAAGCCCCAGCACGTTGCCATGATTTGTCCATCTCTGGTATGGCCAGAATGACCACACACCTCATTTAAGTGTTTTACTAATTCTTCTGGATTTTGCAGTTGTTCAGTAGTGAAATTCCAAAGTACTGGAGGGGCCCACTGACCTAGATACTTGCCCATACTATCCCACACACCCTGCCACTCATGGCTGTCCAGCCTCAGGGAAAATCTCTCGGTCCTCCTACATCGTCGTTTGACCCCAGACAAGACCCAAACCTGAATCTGCTTAACTCTTGAAATCAGTAGTGGGTAAAACACACTCTGTATGCGTGTTAGCATGGTGATTCCCATCACCATCAGCAAACAAGTCTCAACAGCATTAAAAGGCCATTCAAAAAATTCAAAACTCTCAAATGTAAATGGTCTGGGGGGACGACTAGGAGGGTAAAAGGATGTCTCCTTCCCAGGTTGAGCACCTGAGAAGGAGAAAAAAGATGTGTAATTGCTAAGCACCTCCATCATATACCTCCCAAAGTATAAAGGTGGTGACCACACTGGGAACATAAGCCAGATCAATTTCATGATCAATGATTCTATTGTATTACAAGTCATTACCATAAAGTACAATGGGATAAAAACCTTAGCCCAAGCCCCATACTTGAAAAACACTAATACAGCAAGTACCGGATGGACGTAAGATATCATATACTGAAACTGTGAGATCAAGAGGAACAACCTTGAGAGCCAATAAATCAGCATTGTGACGAGTGACTATCAATCCAGTCAGATCTGTTCTTATCTCAACCCTTCGTGCCCCACGTTGGGCGCCAAAAAGAACTGTCGTGGTTTAAACCCAGTCAGGTAGCTTGTTCACTCACTCCCAGTGAGTGGTGCCGAGCTGACAACAATCGAGGTCCGTGTCCGTCTCCCCCCTGCCTCCCCGCACCGGGGCTCTCCCCTTCCCCGCTCCCGGAGGAACGGGGAGGAGGATCAGAGAGTGCAACTCCTACGGGTTGAGACAAAAACAGTCCAGCAACAAATCACCACCGCTACTATCAGCTACAACAATGATAAGGGAAAATAACAAGGGAAGAGAATACGATACCACCGGCCAAGAGAAACGAGCTCCACCCGGAAACCCCTGTCCTTCCGGGTAACTCCCAGTTACCCCTCACCCCGGGCATGACGTGCTGTGGTATGGAATACCTCCCCGGCTAGCCCGGGTCAGGCGCCCCATCTCTGCTTCCTCACAGCCTCCCCTCCTCCCTGGCAGAGCATGAGCCTCACAGAAGTCAAAACACAGCACTGTACCAGTTAACACAAAGGAAAAACATGACTGCTACTGCGGAACCCAGGACACCTACTCAGAGGCACACTGTGTAATCTCTGAGAAGAGCTGTTAATACGTTAGTTGAATACCTCCAGCCAAATTCTTACATCCCACTGGAAACCAGCCAATGCTTTTATCCAAGTTTTCCATCCTCAGAGACCAGCAATATGTGTTCTGTTTTAATTCCATAAACCTGTACTTTCCAGGATGTAGGTTAGATGCAAAGCCTGCAGTTGCTTTGTTTGCTGTTTGGCTGTTAGCAAGCAGTAGAATGAAGTCAATAAAGGTTTTAAGCAGAGAAGCAGCATTTGGATTGAGACCAGTATCAGGTTGTTCAGGATGGTTCAAACCCTCTGTACCGGAACAACTGTCATGGTCACATTTTGTCCTGTGAGCCCAGAGACCTCCGTGGGCTATAACCATCCACCTCACTAATACCCACCTCTTGAGGTTGTTTGATTTTGGTTTCCTCAGGTGTTTCACCAGCCAACAACCCATGTGTAACTGGTGGAACAGCTTGGTTTTAACAAGAGGAACGCTCTCAAGCAGGTTCACCTATTTTCAGGAACTGATTTTTGTTCTTGTCATGAAAACTCAAACAAGTGACAAGAATATTCCAGTGTAAATCAGGACGAGTGAGGGAGACTGTCAAGAATCAGTTTAAATCCAGTTCTGGAACAACTTGATACTTTCAGTATCTCCCCCTATCACTTGAATTTAACTGTTCAAGTCCAGGTTTTGCTCAAGACTGTTGATTCACTTCCTCGTGTATGAAACATGCAGAGTTTCCAGCTGGTAACTGAGCTGTTCTATACTTGTGAGACACACAAAGGAGATGGTGCTGAACAAGGAGCACTTTAGAAGATGTTTCTGTCAGTATTTCCTGCTCATCAGGAAATGGAGGATTAAGGGTTTGGAACTAACTCAGAAGGGGCATATGTTCTGAGAGAGCCCAAGGGAAAAAATAGCTACCATCCTTTTGCAGATGAACTCCCTTTGGCTGGCACAGAACTTATGCACCAGAGGAATGGAGGCACTCTCCAAGCAACACAACCATGGGGCAGCAAAAGGTCTTGATCAAGATAGCAAAAGCACAATAGTCACAATTTGGGTTCTAGGGCACTGTCATCCCCCAGTGATAAGGGCAGCAGTCTTGCAGGTATTTAAAGAGACTTGGGTTAAAACTCACTTTAGTCTTTCTAGTCACTGGAGCTGTCCATAACAGCTTCAGAAGACAGGAGGGTCAAAGTACTTCACGTACCTGGTTGACACAAAGTCTGCTCAAAAAAGACACTTTCAGCCAGGTGTTCTTTTATTCTCTTCTCCTCCTCTTCCTTTTGTTGTTGTTGTTCCTTTGCAGATGGAAGCAGAGTTGCAATAATCTCCTTTTTCCCTAATGCTTTCCTCTGGCTCTGCTCAGACACTTGCAGACGGAATTTATCTATCACACCAAAGTAAGAAGCCCGAACATCTCTGTGACGGATCACGCTGCAGAGGAAAAGCATGTTTTCAAACAGAGGAACTCATAAGCAGCACTTCTCTTGTGGAATTACATCCTACATATCCCAGTGTTCCCCCTCTTCCCACCCTACACAGATGCATTGCAATAGTCCAGACCTCCATTATCTCCTCCATCACTCCATATACTTGAAGAATAGATCTTGCCTTCTCTCCCGCCTCCTCATGTTTGCTCTGGTTCCCAAATATATCTGCTCCAATGGGCTGGCCAAAATGAACAGTTAATTCTTTATCTTAAGCCCACCTCTGGCCCAGCTGCCAGCATGCATGAAACACCAATGATCTGAATGAGGCCTCCTCCCTCACCAAAGCTGCTTGATGCTGGCCAGCCATTTCAGAAGGTAGAGGGGGGACTGGACAGGGCAGAAGAAAAGCAGAGGTGCCGAACACGTGGGCAGGTGATGGCCCAAGTCCAGCTTTTTGAGGAAACCAGGCTCAAAGCTTTACAATTATACTTTCTGAGAAGCCAAACTCATTCCCTCTGTAGACAAGAGTCAGCAAGATGTGAAGGGATTTGAGAATCGAAGCCCACTAAGAGCATGTAAGAGTGCAGTAGCAATGACAGCCACAGATCTCCATGTACGTCTTTCACCTTTCAGTGAGTCAATGTGGGTATCAACAGCAGAGCTCCATGCTGTCAGACCTTTGCTCATCAACCTTGACCACAGTTCATAGCCTGATCTGAAATGCATGATGCTGCAGATACTTCACTAGCTACCAATAACTACACCAGCTGTAGCTACACAAGCTGCAGTCACAGCTCAGACTGCAGTGTAGACATATCCTCTGCATTGTAGAGACTCAGTTATTTTCTTGGTTAACCTTCTCACTGTCCAGCAATCACTCTGTTGCTCAACTGTTTTGAATACATTGCCCAAGATGGCTTCAACAGCAAGGCAGAGTGGGAACTGTTGCATTCCTTCTAGTTTTATCGTATTCCATTGGGAACAAATGTATGTGGGACTCACAAAAGGCACAGGTTTAAAGGAACACCGCTCAAAGGCACACAGACCTCTGAGCTCTGCTCAACTGCATCCCCTCTGCAGTTATGATTCATTATGAAAACACATCTCTAGCATTAAATAGCTGCAACATTCAGGTTCCAGCTCGTATCAGCTCTCGGGGTTAACATGGATTTTAGTTATTTTTCCAAAGTGGAAAACTTGGCTTTTGTAAAAGGCTATTCTCAATTTCTAAGCTAACAAAAGCTAATCTGGAAATACACCTATATAGGAGTGATTTGGCTTCAAGAAGGCTGCCATCTCCCGAGGGCTAAAAAATGATTCCACCTTTAATAATACAGGAGAGTAGTCTTAAATTGCTTCAAGAAACCTATCTTTGCAATAATATAGGCAAGAAACAAGATTTTTGTGTGGTGCTCTTCATTTAAATGAACTATATCAAGATACCCACAGTCAGTAACACAGAGCCAGTGTTTGTAACCGGTATCCAGTTTAAATTGACTATTCAACAAGGAAGCAGAGACAAGTCACCCTCCAAGCAAGAAAGTGCAGTAGTGTACCTAGTTTTATGTCACTTCAGAGGCGAAAGAGTGCTTATGACAGGCTTTCAGTGAGCTGAGTGTTGGCTGGGCAACTGCCTTCACTAGAACAGAAGGGTTTTGCCCCCTGGCAATGCTAATTCATAGGACTCTCAGCAGATTCAACTCTTCTTTCTCCCTTTAACACTTCCTTTTCAGCTTCTGTTTCTATTCTTTGTACCACCCTAAACAGACCCTGTACATAATGCTGTGCTCTGAGAACACACACCTCCTGCCAAGCAAGGAGAGATTTTCTGCAGACCCCTATAAACAGCTACATTCTCCTGTTTCTTTTTAGAGCCCATTGCATAATTGGAAGCTCTGTAGAATATCTGTTTATCTGGCAAAAGGCCACACTTGCATAGTACTGCTCATAGCCCAGCAGTAAACACTGCCCTTAGACAGCAACCACTGGAATGGGATGGGGGTTCTGCTGGAAACAGTTTTCCCTTGGGAACATGCACGTCTTATTTTCCTTTCTTTAATAAAAGACATTTGTTTAGGATTAACCAAACGTCCTCAAGCTTGTGTAAATGTCTGCTAAAGGCTGGAACAGCTCACCGATACACTGATATATTCTGACAGGTTTTGTTCCATTTGCAGGATTGTTGCCCCTGCCCACTGAAACCTTTTAGGTCCGTGCTTTAAACTTCCCTTCTATTTGGTGAGTCCTTGGAATCTTCCAAATTACACTTAGGGAAAGAGCCATTCCCCAAGGCCTGTATGATTTATCTGACAAAAGACAGATCCTTCACAAGTGGAGTTTTCTCACATGGCCATTTGTTAGCCAAAGATCCCAGAAGGTGTTACACATACTTCTATTCAGAAAGCTCAGTCTGCTCTTTCAGGTATTTCATACTTCAGCTGTACCCGGACATCAGCACAGAAAGAAGGTGCCAAATGGAAGATGCAAAGAAGTTGGTCTAAAATAGAGTCAACTTTCAATTGTAGCAGCTACAGACCCTATCCATTCCTGTGGTCACTTCTCATTTTCTCTGTTACTAAGTCGGGACCTGACAAGGGGAACAAGTAAAGGGGAGACAGATCAGAGAACCAGAGGCCATCAGGGTGAAAAGTGGGCCAAAGAACCTTTAGTAAACATGGCCCAGGAACATGTGCTCAGCAGAACGCCACATGTTTTCATTTTGCCCATCTGCAAACAAATATTTCTCACACAGAAATCCCCTGCGTGAGCGATCTCTGTGTGAGAAATACTTGTTTGCAGATGGAGTCTGGCTTTTGTTATTTCTAACAACAAAGTGCTCAGAGGATGCTCATTTTACTCTCACCAATGGTGTACAAACTATACTGCATTTACTATTTATTTATGCCTAAAGACAAATTACACAAGGAAGCATGACTGATTTTGTAATACCTTTGCCTTAAGAGTGAAAGAATGGCAAAGACCAGACAGCCACAAGAATATAGCAGATCAGGATAATACTATATCCAACTTAGCTGATACTATGCATGCTGCCATTCACTACCTCTTAAATAATAAAAGAGATCAAGATAATTCAACGCTGTACATCACAAAAGAAACCCAACCAACTCTTACTTACATATCAACACAGCACTGAGGCTTCACTGCACCAGTAGCATCAACCACGGCATATTTGTTTGGAGTTGTACAAAGAACTGGAACAGAAAGGACAGGAGTGGTAACAACTCAGGAACGAACACCTCACCGACTTCATCAGCAGATACACATAAAGCCACGAGTTTGGGTTTGCCACAAGTATGGTTTGTGACATGAATTAGAATTGGACTGTTCAAGATCACCAACTAACCCTTAAATAGAACTTAACCTAAGAAACCCACCTTTGAATTTTAAGGCAAACTCATAGGGGTTATATAGAGTCAACACCTGCTTGTGTGTTGACTGGTCATCTGCATAAAATATAAGTTCTGTAGGAAAAACAAAAACAGGAAGATTTCCTTCCACTAACTCTGGCTGTCTTTTTTGTTGCTGCATTGGCACTGAATCCTCCTTGCTGCTTCTTGGGTTCTTATGATTTTGTATCCTCAGGGACTTCAGGTTTTGAAGCGTTTAAGAATTCCAAAGCATTTTGGCAATTCTAAAGGAAAAAAGGGGAGGAAAAAAAGAGAGAAAAGGCAAGATTATTTCCATAAGTCTCTACTGAACTGAGGCAGTCAACAAAGGTGTAAAAATATACACGGTGATGCTTGGTTATCAATCTACCTCCAAATTCTTTCCAAAATACAAAAATAGAAGAAAATATTTGCATCAGGTTTCCATCTGTGCAACAAACTGCTATGAAACAAACCGGTAAGCACTTCTTCAGGGGATCGTGGCAGCATTTTGGGGTCCCAATTCACAACCAGGGCTGCTTATGCTGGGTCTTTGCAACACAAACTAAACGGCGACCACAAAAATATATCCCCCCCCTTAAAGATATCCCATTCTTGCCTTGGGACAGTAACAGCAGAAGTGAGGAAACACAAAGAGGTAAATCCCCATTTAGGCAGGAATCTCTCTGCTCACTTCCTGGATGAGGGATAACAACTTAGGTATCTGCTCACACAGGCACTGAGGTATGTCAAACCCCAGAGACTCAGAACAAAAGAATGGGGAACACCTTCATGCCTTGTTTAAACTAAACTCTTGTTATGACTGCATTGTAGTTCCTGGGATGAAGAATCCCAAACGGATTTGGGATTCACTATTTATTTGAGCACTGTTGTCTCTAACCAAAGTACAATCATCGTACTTCTCCCTCTGCCACCACCCCTCCGCACCAGCTCTGTTTTGAGTGACATTCCAGAACTAAAACCAGGACCCATGACACGAGCAAGCAACAATCCCAAATGTAATTCATAAAGGCCAGATTCCCAAGCCTGCATACCACTGCCTTTATGCACTACAGACAGAACAAAGTGAAACAGCTAATTCTATCCCCCCCTAAGAACAGCATGTTTTACTGTAGCTCCCACAGGTTAATTATCAACCTGGAGATGTCCTTTGGGGCTCAGCATTATTCTATAGTAGAAAATAGTAAAAGAACAAGAAGTTCCTACTGACTCATTCCCATTCCCATGAAGCTTTATAAAGCAAGGTCCATCTCAGCTGCTCTCCAGCCTAATAAACTGATTTAGTTTATTATACCTTAAGACCTTTAGTTGCTTATACCTTATACGTTAAGACATTTAGTTGCTGAATTTTCTAGCCACAAATAGCCCTCACATTACGAACAATCAAACCCAAAGGCTTGTTTCTGCATTCTAAACATCATGACGTTCACACTTCCAAGCACCAGATACGTGCCTCATACTTGAAACATGACCCACCTTTAGGTGTTTACCAGAGTACATCTGTCATAGCTTCAGATTTACGGGTTCTGATTCTTATTCCCAACCGAAACGTCTCATTTTTTATTCCTACAGCAACTCCTCCCTGGAATGTCACGGCTCTCCCTGGAATGTCTTGCCCCAAGATCCAGTTTCTTTGCAGAGCACAGGTTTGTTTCCACTTCACTGAAATGCTACTAATAATATGCTGAAAACAAATCCCCAACGCCTGTGCTCCAAGCTGATGTTTGCTACCTTATTAAGAAGAGCCCAGAGAAAGAAACAGCTCTGGACATGGCAATGCGGGTTTGGAGCGCTGCTTGGAATTCTGGTGAATCCCTTTTGTTTCATTAAGCTCTGGAATCACTTCGTGCAGCAAGTGTAAGCGCTGTTCCTTGAACGACATTAGGTACAACAGCAAAGCGAGAATCATTGTTCCATGTGAATATCTGGTGACTGTATGAGGAGCTAATGCGGAAAAGCTGCCAGCTCCCAGGAATGCAAAATGACTTCTGACTCCTCAGAGGCAGAGGGGTTTATTTTTTATAGCAGTCAGCTCCATGCAGTGAGCGCAGCTGAGAAGCTCTGGTTCTCATACATATCTATACTGCATACACTGTAAGGAGGAGAAACACAGGCAGCTTTTGAACCAAGCTGAAGTGGGTTTTCTTCCCCTAATAATGATTTACGCTACTGCTAGATATCGTTGAGTGACAATACTTAATGAAATGGTTAAAACATTATTTCTCATAATGAATGCAATTTTAATTTCTTTAGGGTTTTGTTTCAACACTGCACAAGTTTCATTCCAATGCCTGGTGTCAAACCACAACTCCGGATTCTTCAGCTCAGCAGCAGCATGCACTGAAGTGTCCAAAACCCCACAGATCACCACATCACTGGAGGGGTGGATCACTAAATCTATTAATAGGCTCATTTTCCTTAAGACACCCATTGCAAATCCCAGGATTCCACAACTTGCAAGCAGAAAGCCACCGATCTTAAAAAAGTATAGCCCGTTATTGCTTCCTTTGCTTATTTGACTTGGCTGGATGAGAAATCACCGCCCAAGCTGGCAGAAGGAAAAGCTGGCAAAGCCAAGCCCATAGTAGTTGTGCTTGCTGACACAGCAGTGTCCTTCAGGTTACAAATTCCTGGATTTCTAAGCAAGTAACCTTTTTGAGACAACCCTTTTTGGCTTGGAAGTCACCTTACTGGGATACTGCATCAAGTGACATATGTAAAAGGGTTTTCCCAAAGACTGAATTATAAACTACACATGTGCTGCAGAGATCTGATAGTTCAGTATTAATAACAGCATAGCTTCCATACAGCACTTATCAATAGGAAGCTGCAGAGACTTTTACAGAGGAAGCCTGTATCATCAGAACTTCCCTGCATAGATTAACCCTCAAGAAGTGCTCATGCGGTGATCGTTGGCAAGAAGCCCCCATGACCCAGCTTCAGTGTGTGCTTGAGTCCAGAACCCCCCCATGGGCTGGGCTGCACCCCCAGAGCGTGAGCAGCAGCTCAGGGAGGGGATCCTGCCCCTCTGTTGCTCTCTGGGGAGACCCCCCCCTGCAGCCCTGATCCAGCCCTGGGGCAGCAGCACAAGAGGGACATGGAGCTGCTGGAGTGAGTGCAGAGGAGGCCATGGGGATGCTGCGAGGGCTGGAGCAGCTCTGCTCTGGAGCCAGGCTGAGAGAGCTGGGCTGGGGCAGCCTGGACAAGAGAAGGCTCCTGAAGGGGAGACCTGAGAGCAGCTCCAGTGCCTAAAGGGGCTGCAGGAAAGCTGGAGAGGGGCTTGGGGCAAGGGATGGAGGGACAGGCCAAGGGGAATGGCTTTAACCTGCCAGAGGGGAGACTGAGATGAGCTCTTAGGCAGAAGCTCTTCCCTGTGAGGGTGCTGAGGCGCTGGCACAGGGTGCCCAGAGAAGCTGTGGCTGCCCCATCCCTGGCAGTGCTCAAGGCCAGGTTGGACACAGGGGCTTGGAGCAAGCTGCTCCAGTGGAAGGGGTCCCTGCCCATGGCAGGGGTTGGAGCTGGAGGAGCTTTAAGGTCCCTTCAACCCAAACCAGTCTGGGATTCCATGAAGAGGGCTATGCAGCAGGCTGCCTCTGGCACCCCAGCCAGGCCATTTACAAGAAACACAGCTGCCACTTTGTGCACCACAACAGACTCTCACCAGGATCGCTCAACATCGTAGCTGACAGTCACTGTGACTGCTTGCAGAACACAGAGGTAAGCACAAACCAAGATCTGCAGTCTCAGCTCTGTGACCTCCACAGGTCCTCCCGGTATTAATGGAACTCCTCACTGGGGCAGGAAGCTGTCCAGCAGAACTCTCATTACAGGACACAGGCCAAAGAGTAACACCTGAACAAGGCCAGCTTGCTTTCCGCTTACTTTGAAGTCCAAAAATCACCATGGATATCTTTTTTAGCACAATAAGGCTCTTTCCTCCCCGAGGTTACTAAATATATACTGCTGGTGTCACAATAGCATAGATCTGCCAGCGTTCCCTTTGAAGTCCCTTCCTTCATAAACTTAGACAAACACAAAGCGAAACGCAGCTTCTCTCCAGGGTCAGAAATAACACCGACTGTGATTTGGTTTTACTTAACAAGTATCCGCTGAGAACACAAATCAAGCGAGGAAGTTTGGTGTTCCCGTTTTAACTTCCAACAGCCTCATCACCAGGGCTTCCAAGTGCATCTGTTGGTTGTTGTTTTTCTCCTCACAACTGCAAATAACTCTACGGAGTGTCATCTGGTAAACACTTGATTCAGAGGAAAACCTCCTTACAATCCCACTTCTTTCAAAGCCTGTTCAATTACAGTGCGATCCGCTTTTGTTCTATCTCACGATCTAGGCTCTAAACCTACACAATAAGCCTTTCTACGCTATAGCCTCAAGAAAACTGATGCCTTTGGAGTGCCTGTTTACAAAACAAGCCACAAACTCTTCTTCAAAACTCACGCTGAGCAATTATGAGCTCCACATAAACACACCGCCTGATCCAGAGCAGATCTATGCACATTTTGCTCCTCCAGAAGGTTTCGAAGGCCTCTCCGTGCGTGCACTTACGCAAACCAATGTTTAAACTACCTGCAATTATCCGGGAGAGTCACCCAGAGCACGGAGCCAGCAGCCAGGATGGCTGGATTCCATTATTGTTACCTCCACCACCACCACTCCATGACCTTGAGTGAGCTGGTTAAACCCCACCTCAACGTGCTGATCTAGGAAGGCACACATCCTGCGAAGCATTTCAGTAGGTGGCCAGTCCCATTCAAACTGGCAGGACCACTCTGGTGCCTCACGAAGCCTGGGCTGGAGCCTGGGACTGTTCACCTCTTACAGGGCGGCCAGAAATGCAATCGGGAACCGTCTCCAGGATGCTGGGCCACAAAGAGGTCTCGGCGCGTTACCTATTAGCACGGGTGACTACAACAAGCATAAATCCCGCTAGCGCTGACAGCAGAATGCATTTGGGCCACATCGGTTCTATTCTTTTATTTTCTCAAATGCTGAAAAGGTGGCAGCAATACAAAAAAAATACAACTAAAAGCTACGTAAAAGCAGGGGGAAAATGAAATAACTGCTGTGTGCTGCTTCTGAGCCATTCCACTGTATTGCTCGGAAGAAACCTCAGCACCGTACCGGCTACAGGGAAGAGAATTAACTGTATCCCAGCCGAAACCAGGACAGGGTGGAAGCGTTTCAAGGGCACATCTGCTTTAGTCTCTATTTTCTCACTTTCGGTTTGTGTTCCACGCACCAAACCGAACCGCCTTAGCGCTACGTGGCCTTTTCCCCCGTCTCAGGCCAGGTCCAAGCACTTGCCTCCAACGCCAAGATGCCACAGATAACCGAGGAGCACGCTCCTTCCTCAGGGAGCAGCGGGAGGAAAGGCCCCGGACGCCGCTCCCCGAGCGCACCTACCCAAGGCACAGAACCGCCAGCGATTGCACCCGCTTAACTGATCCTCTTTGTTCTCCAGCAGCACAGATAAAGGCTGAGGCATCCTCTAAGGGCCTCTCTCCGCAGCCGGCGCCCTGCCCTGCCCTGCCCGTGCCATAACGCAGCAGCCCCTTCGCCCCGCATCGCTGCTCCGCCGACACCCCGGAGCGAGTTCAACCGGGCCCCGGCCCGGCTGCCCCGCGGTAACAGCGGCCAGGCCCGGGCCTCGGCCGCGCTCCTCCTCACGGCCCGCTAAGGAAGAGCCGCGGGCGCCGGGCTCCCACATCGCTCCCTCCCCGGCGGCACGGCGAGAGCTGCCGGAGGCGAGGCCAGGCCAGGCCCGGCACGGCCTGTCACGGCCCGTCGGTGCCCCCTGACCACCCGCGGTATGGAGCGCTGGTGCCGCTCCGCTCTCCCCCTCCCCGGTGCCGGGTACCGCGCTGCGCCCACCGCTCACAACTCACCCTCCGGGGCCGCTGAGGTGCGGGCTCGGGCCCCTTTTGTCCGCCCCCCCCCGCCTGCTCCCGTCACTGCAGGCAGCGCCGCCGCTATGGCTACCGGGAGCGCGGCGGCTCCCGCCCGGCACTGCCCGGCGTCACCGGACCCCGCCCCGGAGCCGCACCGACACCCGCCCTCTTCTTCCTCCTCCTCCTCCGCCCCCCGCCGCCATCTTGGGGCGGGCGGGTTGCTGTGGGGCCGTGGGGTTGTCCCCGGCTGCGGGTCTGGTTCCGGGGCCGGCTCCGCTGTGGTACGCGAGGTTGTGTTAACGCTGATTTACCTCATGGATGGTTTCTGAGGCACAGCCCCTACCCGAAAGGGTCCATGGCCCCTTCACGGCCGTCGCTGCCATTGACCTTGGGTCCGTCCCGGTTCGGTTCCCTCAGGATGAGGCCCCGGAGCCCCAGCCGATCCCTCACCGATCCCTGCAAGAGGGTCGATGTGTGCCTAAATGTGTTCCTAAACGCAGAATAAACGCGCTAACGAGGCGAACAGGGGACTCTAACCACGCAGCAGTGCCGCTTAAATGGGGCGTGCTGTCACCATAACTCCATCTCGCGCTGCTTTGTTCTATGTTCCTCTTATTCGTAGGTTTTTATTAAACTCTTCGTGGACTTCAGCTCATTTTAGGCAGCATCCACCATCATCTTTCTTCAGTCTTTTTCCCTGACTTGGGCTTTTAAGCCCTATATAATTAAAAGACAGGACTGCATGAGCACAATCCCCATCTAAAATCATCCCCAGTTGCATCAATGCAGCAAAACAGTTTTGCTGCGAGTCAGGTGAATAATTGACGTTGACGTTAAGCCATCCAGTCAGACGGCATTGCAAAACCCTGGCCCCGGTACCAGCCTTCGCCCACCACCGAGATGAGCACCGCGGCCAGAAGAGTTTCACAAGAACAGCACGGAACGACCCAGGATGGGAAGTAACATTTCATCTATTTAAAATCATGGGAGACGTTGACTAACAGGAGGAATAAATACGGTGCAGCTTGGCCCAGTGGTGTGGATTAGCATGCGTCTTTTCCGAGTACCACCTTCTGCACGGCTGATAGTTGCTCATAGTTCATTACCCGTCTCGGAGCCTCAGGTGACACATTACAGTTTTATTCTAGAGAGAAATTGTAATTTGTCAGAATTTATGGAAATGTAAAAAATGGCCCAAAAAAAAATAGATACATATTTCTTGACAAGTGCCACTCAGCTCATAGCTTAACATTTATGGTTAAAGTGGAATTCTTGGTTTTACCAAGCCTTCAGGATACATTCAGAAGCTAACATTGTGAGCGTTACTCCAGTGGAGGGTGTTCCTGGTTTTGGAGACCTGGCTTGGGAGACGCTGCATTCATAAACGTGTTCCAGGGATATTCAAATCCGGAATAAAGAGAATGATCACATGAGAAAACCCATGATTTAAAACGGTGAGACTTAGGAGCATGTTACTAGGGGCTCCAGGAAAGCTGGAGAGGGGCTTTGGACAAGGGCCTGCAGGGACAGGCCAAGGGGAATGGCTTTAACCTGCCAGAGGGGAGACTGAGCTGAGCTCTTAGGCAGAAGCTCTTCCCTGTGAGGGTGCTGAGGCGCTGGCACAGGGTGCCCAGAGAAGCTGTGGCTGCCCCATCCCTGGCAGTGTTCAAGGGCAGGTTGGACACAGGGGCTTGGAGCAAGCTGCTCCAGTGGAAGGTGTCCCTGCCCGTGGCAGGGGTTGGAGCTGGAGGAGCTTTGAGGTCCCTTCCAACCCAAACCAGGCCGGGATTCTATGGTTATGCTCCATACCCAACATTCCTAAAGGTACATGTGTGCCATCACTATTTAACCAGCACTGACACACGCAAAAATACTACAGAGCCACTTGATAAACTTACTGGTGCCAAGGTTTGTGGTTTGGGGATGCACAAAGCTGGGCTGGGCACAGTCCTGCTGCTCCTCTCACTGTGGAATTATGTGCTTTATGTGGAATAAAAAACCATTGAGAGGATGGATGTGAGTGTGCCCACATGCCGTGTACTGCGGGTAGGCTGCTCATCTGCCATGTGGGAGATGAAGACTACTGCCATGTGTGGCAGAAACCAGAATTAGATCTGTGGGGAGTTCTTTATCATTAGCTTATTGTTTCTTTGGCTTTCTCCTTTTTGGGCTACTTTATTTTGCCCAAATAACTAATTATTTCTGGTACTAGAGGCAGACTGAGTTTGCCATCCTTGACTGTGGGTAAAGGAGTATTCAGAAATACAGATGCAAAGGAGCAGAGACACAAGATGCAATAGAGAATCTGCAACAGGTTTGTCGAGTGTGATCTGAAGCCTAAGAAAATGCTGCTCCTGGAGCTGATGTTTGGTCCTCTGAGTTTTACTGGCTTTAGAAACCACTGTGAGCTCCCTCCGAGCACTGGCTAGTCTTGTGTTACATAAAATATTGCCTCCTTCAGCAGGAAACCTAAGCCTGGAGTCTGCACATACACAAGGCTCCTGAAAAAGACCAACCCTGTGGTGGTTTTGGTTGCTGTGGTGATTATCCATCTGTTGAAATACTTCCTATGGGAGAATCTCAACTCATTTACCATGGAGAAGATTGTCTTTAAGTTGCCTTAGGCCTGATTCCTGTGATTTTCACACTTGATTAGCAGCACATTCCACTTGATCTGCCATGGCAGGAGGACATTGTGTAGCGTTTAGATACTGAGAGCCTGGCGCTTGGATTCTGTGGGTTCTCTAAAGATGGCACAAACATGGTGTTGTGAAGTTCAGGAGGATGACTGCAACACTTGATGGGGGGCCTCCTTTAATGGATCCTCATCTGAAGCAGTTACACAAGATCACTTGTGCTTTACAAAGTCTGATAGGAAAAGAACTCATGTGCAGCCAGGAGGGAGTTGAACATCTCCATCCCCATGGCAGGGGGTGGAAGTAGACCATCCTAGATGGTCCTTTCCAACCCTAACTATCCTGTGAGTCTGTGATATAGCTGAGTAGTATAGCTGTGATACAGCTTTTAATGCCTTTAGTTCTTAATAGTGCACATTCTTAATGTGCTACTTTTTCCTGACAGTTGCTTTCCCCATGGCACGATGTGGTAGATCCTCTTTGACTGAAGTAACTCAGGAAATGGAGTGACGCATCTTCATTTCCATCCACACCCATGTTGTGTTGTTTTCCTCTTGTGCCTCTGTACAAAATGAATCGAGTTTTCTTTTTAATTAATGTCAGTTTGTTTAAAAAGTCTATTTTATTTCTCATTTTAAAACACTATCAAAAGAAACAAAACACTGCATCCAAACATCCAACTTAAGGCAGCGTGCACGGTCTGACTTCTAACAGAATCAAGAATCGCTCAACCTAAACGGTCCAAGCCATTCTGGTAACTTTAATTCACCAGTAAAAGGTTTGGTTGGGGTTTCTTTCCATGCTGAGGTGCAGATTGTCAGCCCCCCCCTCCCCAGGGGCAGCATGCTGTACTCCCATTTCATGGCACTAGGGACTTCGACGTTCCAGCGTGTAGCTTTTTGTGTCAGAGGTTAGGATGTTTGTTTTTATGACTAATGTGGACCTTGGGAGCCACATATCTGAGCACCGTTGAGGAAATATCTAGACCTCTGTTAAAGTGTAATCCCTCTCAGGGCATGCCTATACAAGAGAGTAAAGACAGCTGGAAGCTCTCTCTGCCTGTGCTCCGCACTGGCTGGAGGCAAGCCAGTTCCACCTTAGAAGTCCTTTATCATCTCTCTGCCTGTGCTAATAGTCCCTGAGATGTGGCTGTAAACACGGTGAGCACAGCACACCAGAGAGCTGTATTTGCTGCAGGACAGATACAATTATTTGGGGGAAATATAGCCTAAAGAGTATGTGTCTTTAAAGTACCAAATGCAAACAAGGGCAGGTTTCATGCTTGCTCATTCTTGAGAACAAAGCCAGTGTAAGATCTAAGTGATCATTCAAGTCCCTCTCAAGCCTTGTACTGAGTGAATCTTGCCCAAAGTATGCTTGCATTGCACTTCAGACAAGTATCAGGGTTCTCTTCCTTTACTTGGTGTCTTCATGTGGGAGCTCCTAACACTTGTCTTGCTCCATGAAGCGGTATGAAGGAAGCTGTAGTTGAGTCTTAGACACCATGGCATTTATAATCGTTTAGAAGCCTCAGAGAGAGCAAACATTTAGAGCTTTGTAGACAGTCATCATCTTTATGAAGTGTAGGATCTATTTCTGCATCATCTGGAGGACCCTGCTGAGAATCTCCATTGTCCTGCTCATTGGAAGGCTACAGCCCAGCATGGGCTCTACTTCTTTCAAGCCTGTGCATGTACATCTCTAGTAAATGAGCAGTTATGGTTATTTCATTAGACCCCTAATAACATCTCTATTTCATTTTCCTTCCAAAGATGTTTACTTCAGTGCTGACACAAATTTATAATGTCATCTCAAAAGTAAGAGCCTATCCTGTCAGATTTACAGCTATTACAAAGTAGGATGCTATCTGCATACCAATGGTCAGAGCCGTACCAACATTTCCCCTATTATTACTGCCTAAGGAAGCAATAAAAATTTAACATTTACCATCGGGAAACACCTGCAGGGATGAAATTAAAACTAGATTATGTTCTTATCAGTTAAACGTTACCAAAGCAAACTCTTTAGAGATTAACATAAAAATCAGCGTTATCACAATCTTATTAAAAGCTCCACTTAATACAATCCATATTGCACCTCCACTGCTCAAGCGCTGTCTGTGTGTGACTTCCTCAGTCCTTGTGGGGTGTGCAGAGAGGAGGCAGAGCAGCCTCATTGATGGCTTTGCTATGGTGTTAGCAAATACCTACCCTGATATTTAGATTTGTCTTTAAAAGCTGGCCACGAGTGTCATTTGTCCTCCTCTTGCTGATCCCGGCCCCTCTCTGAAGGGGTCTCTGCATGGCACACTCTGCTCATGAGCGTGTCGCCAAGGCCTGCTCCGGGCTCCCTCATGGAGTTCTGCTGGGAATTCCTCTGGAAACCACTCGCCCTTCCTGCTGAACCTGTTCCTGATTATGGTCAGCAGGAGAAAGACAAGGGATTTAAAAAGGCTGGAAATCCCGAACAAGGAGCTGTTGTTGCTGCTTCGCAGATGGTCCGTTACAAACGTGCTCCAGAG